AATTGAGTCCTTTGACTGGTTTTAACCTCTGTTATCTCCACCATAACTAAAAGGTGGAAGGTACTTCACTGTTGATCCTTTTCCCTTTAGAAACTTTCTTGCCATAAGTATTAAAGGTGGAAGCTGAACTTTGTAAGCCACAAGAGTTCAGTTTGTTCAAAGAAGGTTATAGATAAGAGGGAAGGGGTGGTGAGGGAGTTCTAGAAGAACTTTTGGGTTGGCTTAAAGAAAGTAGTAAGACTTTATTAGCATAAAAGTATTAAAAACTTCTTGTGAACATCTTTTTTGTGTGTGGTCAGAGAATCAGCGGAAAGAGTTTTGTAACTACTAAGATTATATATATATTATTTTATATATTTTTATTATATTTATTTATAATAAACTCTTTCCGCTAATCCTCTGACCACACACAAAAAAGATGTTCGCAAGAAGTTTTTATACTTCTATACTAATAAAGTCTTATCACTTTCTTTAAACCAACTTGAAGAAACTTCAAGAGACATCAACTATCTCCTCTTCTTTTGTTTATTATCCTCTTCAAACAAAAACTTGACCTCTTGTGACCTTAAAGGTCAAGTAAAACCTTTTCTACTAATGGTAAGAAAGTTCCAAAAGGAAGAAAAACTAATGTGCTATTATCTCATACTATAGAGAAATACCACATAAGTCTGTTAATGATGAGAGACAACTTCCTCACTCTCTTGTCATTGTGTCTACTTCTTATAGTGCTCATTCTTGATTTTTTCTGGAGGATTTTGCCTATCTCAGTTTGTCACTGAATTTTGAATAGCACAAAATTTCTCACACCATGATTGAACAGATATAGCTTACATTAGTAAAAAGAATGTAAACAAGCTCCTATTGGTCACTCCACATATCTCGTCAGACACTGCCTCCAAACACATCATTGAATATCAAGAAAGAAAGCAATTTTCAAGAAAATTATCTATCACCACTTAGGAAAATAAGAAGAACAAGATACTCAAGAAGATATAGAATGAAGGCAAAGCCTTGAAAGTGTATCACCTACTTATACAAGCCTGAAAACTGGAAGATTGGGAGATTCCTCAGGATCATTAATACCAATCAAAAATAAAATCACCAGCAGGAGTTGCTGATATAGATGGTATAGTGAATCAACTTCTTCAAGATGGTAGTACTTCAAGAGCAACATTTATCAAGGTCAGTAAAGACATATGCCAGAAAGACCAAGATTCCTTTTCTAGAGAGGTTATTGCAATGGGTAAGTAAGGACAGATTTACTGGATGATAAAGACCCCATACCTCATACCCTCATTTCTATAGCTCTCCTTCCTCAACTCTCTTCAATCCCAGTTCTATATCCCTTCGAAAACCTCTTTGACTTGTCTAGTTACTTGGAGAAACATCAAAAGAAGACTCAACATTAGTAGGATAAGGCAAGACATAGGATCAAAACTAGAAGATATAAGAACCATAACATGGAAATACTGAAAGCAATTGAGGAATAGACATTACGACCTCAACTGATAAAGTCCTTGAAGAGTACCCAGCCGACGATAAAGAAATGGTAGTAATAATATGGTTTTAAGTGTCAATTCTATAATGAATTATTATTTTCTCTCTTCTGCCAAGTCCTTTCAAGATGTGAGTAGAACCTTTTCCTCTATTGATCCTTGTATAGCTATTGTCTTCAATTATGTCTCCTAACAGTAGATATCTGTTCAAGAAGATTAATATATGAATACACATTTCCCTTTTTAGGATTAAAATAGACAAACTAGATTTGATATACATCAAATCCCCCTTCAAAATTTTTATTGTCCTAATGGCCCCTTTATTAGATCTCTGTTTAGAGATAGCTTAGCCATGAGGTGGTTTCTTTTTAACCTATTATTAGTTTAATAGCTCATCATTGTTTTCTTCTGATCAGATGTACATAAATAGTAAAACTTTGCTAATAAACTTGATCAAGTTCAGCATTAAAATATATATATATATATATATATATTAGACATTTGTATTAACTAAATATTAGACTTATATATTTGATATATTATATTTTTTTGATTTATTTTATATTTTTTATTGGATATAAATATCTTATATTTTTAAATTAACAAAAAGAACAAAGTATTAATCACTATAGTTAGAGTATATATGAAATGTGATGCACCCATTTATAACTGAAATTATTCTTATATTATAGAATATCATGATATAAAACCAAGGTATAAGATTTTAAATAAGTTAATAAATAAGTATAAAACATCAACAAAATATATTTATTATATTTGAAGAGGAATAGAAGCTAATAGAGTTTTATGGGATTAGTCTAAACTATACTTATATAATGATATCTCTAATTTTATATCTCCAACATATTAAAACATTAAGTATCTTGAATTGAAAAGTCATAATTTATTGTGAAACAATAATATTTACATGCCTACTACTCCAATAATAAATCAAATTCTGTTATGAATATTATCCATATAGAATTTAAACCTTTAGACTCAAAAAGATATAATTCAGAGAAGAGACAAAATCTCAAAGAAGCTAAGCTTCAAGTTCTTGACTCAATTCAGATTTATTACTTGATAGATAACTCTATTATAAATAACTTATCAGTAAAGTCAATACAACCAAGTAAGTAAACAAAAACAAGGAAATCTAAATCTATTCAGATATAAGATCCACTTATCATTTCTGAAGACTTAACAGAAAAAATAGAAATAAATGAACTAACTCATCTTAAATATGTAGTAAAAGAAAAAGAGGAAAATTTATCCTATTCAAGATATAATATTGATAAATCATAAATAGTGAACTTTATATATTCTACATAATCTTTATTTTCTTTATTAAATGATCTTATATGACAAACAAGTTTGTTAAAACCAATAATAACTTTAGTTGCTTTATAGATTTCTTTCTTATATATCTCACAATTCATGCATTTTTTTTTAAAGTTGAATTGTTAAAATCTGGGTTAAAGCCCACAAGAGCATACCACTTTTCGAATAGTTTATTATTACCTTTATTATTATTACCATCCTATAAAATTTGATCAGATATCAAAGGCTTATTGCAAAACAATGTGACTTTGTTCCTATTATCTTGAGATATAGTAGTACAATTTACCTCAAGTTTATTCTTGACTTTATATATAATAATTGGAATAATGGGATCCTTTCCATTAAAAGGAATTTTCAACTCATCTTTACTTCAATCTATAGTATATTTATATTTCTTGAGAAGTGGATCAGAAATATCAATGTTAGTTTAGGAACATGTATAACTACAAAATCTTCATATATAATAAAACTTAGAAGGAATATTATTGAAAAATTACAAGCAATGTCAATAGATTCTATTGGAACTGTTGTAATACTGTTAAGATCATATTTCTTTATTTATCTATTGGCTAATTTACACATTTGACAATATCTTCTGATGTAATTGGAGATTCAACTCCACTATTGAGTATCAATGCTGAAATTTTTAAATGTTTGATTTTACATGGTATAGTTATAAGGCTTGTAGTAGGTTCTTTCCAATAGACAAAATCTATTTCTATAAGATCATCTAACATTTTGTCCTCTTCATCTGAATTAGATATTTCTGGAGCTGGCTCTCGATAATATAAGCACAAATTACTTTGCTTTACAGTAAAGTCAGGTTTTATAGGTTCTTTAGGGATGACTTTTCGAGTTATAGATAAATTTATATTATTAATATTGTTTTTAATTGTTTCTTTTTTTTTATATATTTAAACTGCAACTATTAGATGCAAACTTTATTAAGAATTAAATTAACATTTGATGGATAATTAAATCTGTAGCATAACATCAATCATCTTATATAAACTATATATTTCTATATATATGCAGATTAATAATAACCTATCATGATTTGTCTTAGTTAAACCAGCTACCACTCCTTGAGTGGGCAGACCTAATTAGGAGCTAGATGGTTAATATACAGTTATCAACAGTGTGGCTAGACTAGTTAATATTGAGCCTGTTAATTTGTGTTTATTATTGTTTCACTAAGTTAATTTTTTTTGTATGTACTCGATGGAATATTTTATACCCTCCAATATTCCTAGATATTATTCACTCAGACCTCAGAAGAAGGCATGTTACCTTCTTTGTCATCACCTGTGGCATTGGATCAGTTCTTATTAACTGATTTTCAATTAAGTGAAGCACTAGATTGGAATATTCTGAGCTAGGAGAGTGGGGTCCTGGAGACTGCCAGGGCAGGAGATCTTGGGGGTATCTATGGTAGGCTAGATCAGAAGCCTTTCTTCATGCAATTCTTCTAGTAGTATGACCATAAATCTCAACCCCTGATCAATGGAAGGCCAGAAGTCCCATTTTCCTATAACCTAATCTGATTGGATCTTGTTTTGAATGATTGGATATGATTTTCACAGAATAATCGATAAAACTTTATCAGAAGATAATTTTTGATTTTTGATCCTTAAGTGGTATTGAACTACAGATCTTGTGATTGCGATCTGAGAGCACTACCTGACCCATAGGTCTTGTTTTTAATTGTTTCTATAATTACTGGATCATTAAACATAGCCAGAATAATTTTGCAGATTTATGCATCAATAATTGTATCTGATTTTGTTTGTAATTTTTATTAAATATATTGAATTAGAGATAAGTCAAAAACTTGAAGCTCTGCTTCCTCAAGACTCTGTTTCTTTTTTGGACTAGATCACTTTTTAGATAATGATTTATCCAATTTAACCTTCTACTTTACTTGTTTTTTTTTCTATTAAAAATATATATATCATAACTATAATCAGATTCAATCTCAGATGAGGAATCTCCAGAATCGAAGTTATTATTTAAAAAATCATTACTAAAAAAGCTTGTATCTGAATCAGAATCATTGGTAGCCATATTAACTTTATCTTTTTTATTTTTATTAGATCTTTTGAAATTTTTGGATTTTTTTCTAAAGCATTTGCAAGAATTATGCCAGTTCTATTGCAATTTGAGCAATAGTATTTGAATAATTTCTTAATGGGACTAATCTCTTTTGCCATTTTTGCTAAATTTAATGATAATTTTAATATATCTTTAGTAATTTCATTTATATTATTGTTATTAGTATCTTTATTCTTAGATTGTACCAGTTTCACTGAAAACATATTGAACAATTTTTTATAAAAATAATAGATTAGAGATTCCATAATTTGATTAGTTGAAGAAATTGAATTTATGATATTAGCATAAATAAATCTTTTAGAATTTATGTTATACCTATCTTGAGATCTTTTTGGCATATTTTATCTGATACTCTAGGATAATTATTGGAATTAGATTATTTTTGTTGAGATTGTACTAATATTATAGATTTATTTTATAATTGATGTGAGCTGGTTTCTGATTGAAAAATTGTAGGTAATATATTAACTAAAAAGCTAACCTCCAGCCTAATAACTGAGACTTGATTAAAATTTGATTCTTCATATAGGTTTGGAGTACATTCTAATCATATATTTTTTAATGCAATGAAAATTTATTAATATCTACTGTAATATCAAACCTCATCCAAGTGAAAAGCTTACCTAGTAATTGACTTTTAAGAAATTTTAAAACTTGAGTATTATTATTGACTACATCTAATAAAAAAGATCAAACCCTCATCTCATAGGTATCTGGAATATCAAATGGCTGAAATCTTTCATAAGTTAATTTTTGGATTGCAGATTGTTTAGTCCCAACTATTTCTCTTTGATATTTTGTGCTTGCCCATGCCTATAAAGTTGCTGTAGAATTAATAGGAGGGTTACCATAGATAAAGGGATCATTAGTTGATGCCGGAATATATTTTTTAGCCATTTTGGATTTTAAAATATTGCACTTAACTATGTCATTAAAATTATTTGCATTTGCATTTTTCAAGAGCTATTATATGGTTCTTAGCAAATACCCATGATTATATAACCTTATCAAAATAATAATTAAGAGCTTCTTAACCTAAAAAACTTACAAGAACAGGTTGTATTAATTTTAATACTGGTAAACATCTAGAATCTGCCATGTTTGATTGTATATTTATAGGTGAATTATTATTTTGTAATGCAAAAATTTGCTGATTCAAATTAATATTAATTGCTAATTAGTATAGGTTTTATCTTTCTATTTCTCATATCTTATTGTAAATTAATCTCTTCAATAATCTGATATAACTCCATTATTGTAGTATCTCTGCAACTCTTGCTTTAACTGATAAGTAAAGATCTTACAAATAATTTCGATACTATGTTTAATTTTGGATTATTCTTCCTATACTAAGCTTGCGTTATATCATAATTGACCTCATAAATTGTATCTTCATCAGCAATTATGAAGTTTCTCAGTAACCTGATTAACATGATTCTGTAAGGTATTTCGTTCCTAAATAATTTGGTTAACCCAATTTTACAAAGTAATATCATTTTGAATGAGCTGATTAATATGATTTTGTTGAAGTCTGTTGAGCTTTCTATATCTATTAATATCTTGCTAAAGCTGAATTATTTGATTGTTTTTCACATCTTGCTAGGCTATAATACTATCTATATCTTAATACATATTTTAATAGTTATGATAGATAACATTTAAAGATCTACAAATCCCTTTTATAATATTAATAGGATTGTTTAATATTATATTTTCTGTAAGATAGTTTTCGATTCAGTTTAAGTCCCAATCAATTTGTATAAATAAATCAAAATTGACCATATAAGTATATTATACATATCTATTTTTTATGACATATATCTTCTACTTTGTTAAACATAATTTAGTATTATAGTAGAACACATTAAAAATAAATCAACTTATTACATATATAGATCCATATGATGAAGTAGTCCTAGTCTACTATTTATTATACTATAATATTTCTGGGTTTTATTTGAATATGAAAACTTTGCAAAAGAAGTATAAAAAAAAAAGGATAATAGTTTCAAGATTGATCTATTATAAAGTGGTTAAAAAATCAGTATGATTACTAAATATATAAATACCCATAAAAAATTAAGGCTCTGACTAGCTTTTTTAAATATCGAATTTCCAACAAATTACATTAATATAATCTATTATCTCATGTTTGTAAGGATCAAGAAAAAGGGAAAATATATTTACACATCTTGGTATTGATAGATGTGGCAATAAGATTTAAATATGCAGTAGCATTTATATCAAAGAATAGTTTGGAAGCTTGGAATGTGATTAAAAAAATATACAATGATCCCCAAAATCCTTTTACATAATCAATATTATTAATAATAGATGGTGCTAGTGAGTTTAAAGGGATATTTGCATGAAAAATGGAGCAATACAATATTTCTATAAGAGTTGTAGACCTTTATAGCTTTGAAAGCTTAATGTTAGTAAAAAAATTCAAATAAGATTTAACAGTACTTATATATAAAATTCAATATGCTATTGAAGATATGCTCAAAGAAGGTAAACATTCAAAATTATAAAATAAAATACTTCAGAAAATTATTAACTATATAAATAATAATAAAATGTGATTAATTAGTATAAGCCTAAACTCATACTATAACATTGAAAGAAGTAATACTTAAAGAATCTATCAAATATAAAATACCTATAGGAAAGGATAAACTGCAACTATG